TATTGCTCTAAATGTAATACTAAATTTAAGCTTAGTAACAGTCGAACTCTCCTTAATTATTGTTAGTTCGACTTAGTGTTTGGTAATAACATTTTTGCATGCCATGTGAGGATTATAATATTTTCTTAGTGTTTAACAAAACTAAAGCAGCTAATAAGTGAACTTGCGGGATATTTCTTTGTATTTGAAGTGCTTAAAAAGATGTCCGTCGACAGATTTATTTGTCTGACATCGGTTTACGAGATATCTAATGAGAAATTTCATTCTTCTAGGTTTTATGACTCTATCGGTGAATTGGATATTGATTCAAGAATATTTGTAAACGCTGCTGCAGGCAATGAAGGCAATGATTATCCCGAAGCGGATTACGAGATATCTCTTGAGAAATTTCTTTGTTCTGGGTTTTCTTACTCTGCCAGTGAATAGGTTTGTGATTCAAGAAAAATTCGTAGAGAATGGTGAAATCTCCGAGATTTTTAGCTGATATGACATGATACAAGTTTTTCTCGGTTCTGGATTAATCACTTTAAATCTTCTAACATCTGAAGCTGTCGTCCACGACAGACCATAGATTGGTGACATCCACCCTGGAAACTGCTGCAATGACCCCAATATTCTCAAAATAATATGGATTGTTTATCATGCGATTTCTTTAATATGATACAGAAATTTACTAAGCATATATTTGATGTGGCACAAGGCCGAAAATATGGAGCACCCAGTGAGGATCGAACTCAGTAGTAATTTAGCTGGCGAGACAAGCTTGCTAACCATTACACCACATCGAAGTTCCCATTTTTGGTATGATATAGTCAACCACTGTTCACCCTTTTCCATATTTATTTTTCTATTTCAAAATAGGCTTAACACAAAAAAAACAGAGTAGAAGAATGTTTTATTCTTTACAAAATTAAAAATACGTTTTGAAGTCAAACGCCACAATAAAAAAGTGTATAAATATCGCGTCGGGCTGCGAAATTATCTATACAGGAATCAAAATCGGCGGACCGAGTTCAGATACACTTCGTGTTACTAGCCTTGAAAATGCAGGAATCTAGTTCTATACGCGTTCTGTGCTATCGCCAAATTTCTTGAGAAAATATCTCATCGCCCCCAATGAATGACGCATAGGGAGTATTGAAACACCTAGACAAACATTTTAAATCACGTACTCAGGTCTGACAAATGTCAAGGTTAACTATTCAGGTCACAAAGCTTGAAACTAGCCAGTCACTATCTGAGACTAAAATTATGAAACTGAATACTTTAAATCTGGTACTTAGAAGTTTAGATTTTGTTCTTAAACAGTATGGCATACGATTAAACCTAATTTTCGATTTTACTCATATTTTACAGTTGAAACGACTAATCCTTTTTTGCTTTTTTCCAAACGCTATTATGTCTGCTGGATATGTATCGTTGCCTACTTCCGGCTGCACGCGTTCCTTGTAAGATTATATTCAAAGCGGCTCGCGTGTTGCATTAGTTTTGAATTTCAAACGCAGTGATCTGCAAGCAATGGCGGGAATAAGGTTGTTGGGTGTCGTCTGCTATCATGTTGGTCAGTTGTGATTTGACCCAGAGTTCAGTTTAGCCACAGCGTCCAGTATATCTATGATAAGCGCGTGCAATAAACTATAATTGCTTCTCAGCGGATATTTAATACTCCACGCTATCATTGTATTCAGATTCAGACATTCATATCCCTTTCAAAAATTATTACTAATAATAATACTAATACTGTTATAATAGTTACTACTACATTAGGGTGCTTGTGGAATTTCTAAGACTCAACTTTGAAATTCAGAAATAAAACAACAGTAATTCATTTTTGTTAATAATACTGGAAACGAAGGGTTAAGTTTTTTTCATATTTTTTTAAAGTTCATTTATTTGTGGATTTAAGAATATTTATGATTTTTTTTTTTTAAATAGCGTCAATTTTCTTTCACCTTGTCATGACTTAGACTCGGACAGTTTGCAATTAAATGATTGTAGAATAAAATCAGTATGATGATGTCTGTGGCTAAATATTGGTTACAACGACTATATTCATAGTTTTTATATTCAATAAAAACGAAATATTTTGGCAGCACTCTAGAGTCGGTATTTCCTTCATGGTCACCAACCCGGCCTCCATCGCTACAGAAGAATTGCATACAACAGTACCGTTGCAAGTGCTACGTGCTCAAGCATCACAATCCAGACACTTTGGTCTCTACGTACAAATGAGTAATCGCCTGTTCACTTAAGATATTTGTCAGTTTTATGATTCAAACCGAAGTGAGGATAGAACATGAGCATAATTACGAATGCTCAGATTAATAGAAGTAGTTAAAGGGATTTTTTTGCATGAAGTTTTTAACGATGTATACTTAACCTTTTCGAAATTGTCATCCGAGAAGAAAGATGTCAGCAGTGAGGTAAAGAGAACTATCAGCCACTGTCCTCAGGTTTTACTTTACTTTATCATATATCATCTGTCTTTCTCCCTGTCTCTATATATATCTCTGTCTATATATATATATATATATATATATATATATATATATATATATATATATATATATATATATATATATATATATATATATATATATATATATATATATAAATAATAAATGGTGGTACTCGCTTGGAAAAACCTTTGGTATGTAGGCTTGTAGTAGAACAAACTAGTACCCAAGGTAAAATAAATAAGTAATAAAAAAAGAAAGAATTTACAACATGAAATTGTGGCGAAAGTAATCGTCCAGAGTTCAAGCTCAGAGTCCAAAGAAAAACGAGTAAAAATCCAAAACGAGTAAAAATAACTACGTAAAGTTCTCAATACACGAAATAGAGCAAACCTAATATAAACCTAAAGAGCCAGGCAAACCTACCTACGTTTCACTTAAACGGATCGTCAGGGGAAATGACGGTATTTTCCTGATGATCTGTTTAGGTGAAACCTAGGTAGATTTGCCTGGCTCTTTATATTTTATATATATATATATATATATATATATATATATATATAAACTTTAAGCTGGCATCTTTTTTTTTTTTGCAATAGCCCCTACCCACACTTTAAGTTTTGTATTTACACCCCTAAATATATATAAAGTTTATATTAACTTTGTGCTTTGAATCTGCGTTTAATTTAGCGTTCCTCCCATGAGAAGCAGTATTTAAAAAAAAACAACCGTAATAGTTCGTGACTTATGAGTTGATAGAACACGAAACATTAAGTTGCACTTCGAACGTAGGTATATGTTTATTAATATATACTTCTTAGCTCTGTCTAACTACATTGAGCACTGTTTTGTTTACACCTTATATTAAATTAAGTAAACATTTATTCGCTTACCTGTGTATTCACGTTAACGCACATATATACAGCTGCTAATATCTAATTATTTGGTTTATGTCCACATTTATATATATGTATGTGTGTGCTTGTGCGTGTGTGTCTGCGTGTGTGTGTGTGCAAAGCGATGGAATCATATTTTTTAAAAATAATTATATATATATATATACCCAAGTATATGATTGGTGTATACGGAATAAATTCCAATAACCAACACTTACTATTCAACAGGTTTTATTTTACATTAAACATCATCACTTGATAAGACTCCGGAGGTGTGGAAACAAAATGGGTATTTTTGTAATGATTTTATAATATATTTATAATTTTAAAATTTTTAAATATATATATATATATATATATATATTGCAATAGATACCTTAGATTTATTATTTACGATAAAATGTTTAACACATCTAATTTAAATTTTTACTAATAATTTGGGGCCTCAAAAATGACACATAAAAACAATGTTGTTTACCAATTCTCGTGTCCTTTCGGCGATTCCACCACAAATATTACTAAATAAAAAATAGCATTAAATTTGATCAAACAAGCACCACCCTTCCTCGCAGATTAACTTGTTCTTTTTAGTACAGCTCAGTTATTTCTTGCGCTGTTTCCACTGAATGTAAGTACCCAACCCATTGATTGAAATCGTAATTACTCTGCCAAGAAATTAAAGAAACAACACGTTAATCCTCTACGTCACTGTCTCAGGAGAACAACAAAAAATGGAGATATTTGTCCGAATGTAAAGAACTTGATTAATTCGTTTTCTACGTCTTACCAACACTTTGCATGATATTTAAAGCCCCAAAATATTTTTAGACTTTAAGTGTTTTATTGATACAAGTCTGGCTAATTAGCCCATAGCTAGGGGGAGAATTGGTGGATTCATACCTTTCCCAAGCGTATTTTGCGCGTAAGTGAATATAATGCACCCGAGGAGTATTGGAACTCGGCTCTCCGATTAACAATTCCGACCCTTTATCCTTTACACCAGCTGTACATTCAAGTTTACAGCTCCTGTTATTCCGAAGCGGTCACTCGTCTTAACTTTGGTGATGGTACGGGAACAGGTGTTTCAAAGTGATATAACCGTAAGCCAGTCCGAATGTAAATAATGGTAACTATTCACCTTAGAATGTCACCCTCCATGAATGATTACACTATATGTAGTAAGTACCTATAAAGTCAACTGTCTACAAGAGACTTGAGGAAAAGTGAGAGTGAGAAGACGTAAGCACTCGCTACTAGATTGACCTGTGTGTATAACTGTACCGTATTTTATATTGTACCTTTCTTCTATTATCCACCTGGTGTTAAGTATTTATTCCCTTAGCACGGAATATAACATTTTCTTTATGTAGAGATAATTTTAGATTATGTCTCATGAAAATAATTTATAAATAATATACTGTGTTTAAAGGACCAAACGATAAAAACATGAATAATAAATTAAGCTCAACTATTACCTCTCAAAGAATTAGGATCCAAAGAGATAAAATAATGGCCAAGAATTTGTGAATCAACGTTTAACATGGTTTCAATAACAGTTGTGCTCAATTTCATATCTAATTTCCCTGAAAAGCCTCTTTATTAATAATGGTCGCAGATCTGTCAGACTTCCGGGCAAATGACATGCAAC